TACCTAGGGGTGTGATTGCTAGATTGTATGGTTAAGACAACATTTAGCTTTGTATCAACAGAAACTGTTAAACTGTCTTCCAAAGTGACTGAACCATTTTGCATCCCCATCAGCAGTGAATGAAAGTTCCTGTTGCTGTATACCCTCATCAGCATTTGGTGGTGTCAGTTTTTTTGGATTTTAGATGTTCTAATAGTTGTATGGTATCTCGTTTTAATTTGCAATTCCCTAATGACAATGTTGAGCATTTTTTCATGTGCTCATTTGTCACATGCATATATTCTTTCATGATGTCTCTTTTCAGATCATTTTCGATTAAAGAATTTGGTTCTGGGGCTTCCCTGGTGGCGCAGTGGTTGAGAGTCCGCCTGCCGATGCAGGGGACACGGGTTCGTGCCCCGGTCCGGGAAGATCCCACATGCCGCGGAGCGGCTGGGCCCGTGAGCCATGGCCGCTGAGCCTGCGGCCCGCGTACCGCAAAAAAACAAAACAAAACAAAAAAAAAAAAAAAAGAATTTGGTTCTTTTGCGTTTTAAGAGTTCTTTGTATATTTTGGATAAAAGTCTTTCATCAGATATGTATTTTACAAATATTTTCTTCTTGTCTGTGGTTTGTGTTTTCATTCTCCCAGCATTATCTTTCACAGAGCAGAAGTTTTTAATTTTAATAAAGTCCTATTTAATTTTTTCTTTCATGGATTATGCATTTAGTGGTATATCTAAAGACTAATTGTCAAACCCAAGGTTATATTTCTTCCTTTTTAAATTGGAATATTTTCTTCACTGTTGTCACAATCCAAGAAAAATTTCTTATTTCTTTCTTTTTTTAAAAAATTAATTAATTAATTAATTAATTAATTTTTGGCTATGTTGGGTCTTCGTTGCCACACGTGGGCTTTCTCTAGTTGGGGCGAGCGGGGGCTACTCTTCGTTGCGGTGCGCGGGCTTCTCATTGCAGTGGCTTCTCTTGTTGCAAAGCATGGGCTCTAGAGCGCAGGTCAGTAGTTGTGGCACGTGGGTTCAGTAGTTGTGGCTTGTGGGCTCAGTAGTTGTGGCTCACGGACTCTAGAGCACAGGCTTAGTAGTCGTGGCTCACGGGCTTAGTTGCTCTGTGGCATGTGGCATCTTCCTGGACCAGGGATCAAACCTGTGTCCCCTGCATTAGCAGGCAGATTCTTAACCACTGCGCCACCAGGGAAGCCCGCAAATATCATTTTTATTAAAATCTGCTTGCTCTCCCAAGTACTTCTTTTGTTGTTTCCTCATTTTTGTTTCATATTTCAATCTGGGTGTGAATTTCCTTTACCAGTTTGTGCTTGGCTGAGTTTTCTACTGCTTTCCAGGTACCTGATTATTTCCTGTCTCCTTTCTGGTGTTCCTATTTTTGCTATTTCTTTATGACCAGAATAGTTTATAATAGCAATGAGTATATTTTGCTTCTGTTCTTTAGGCCTAAATATATATCTTATATTCTATATGTTTTTATTCTTAGAAAACAGGGATCATGCATTAAGAAAAAAACCTTAGGTGCCCTATCATGGCCTGTGATTTCTTGTTAAGTGTACAATCTACAAAATTATTTGGTGGAATAATTTCTTATTGTGGAACTTATGCTGGAGTTGTTTTTAACTTTTTTGTTGTGCTCATTAAGTTTAATTGCTTTCTTTAGTAGACGGCTGTTTAGGGAGTGTTAATTTTAAACAAGTACTTTTAAAGCTACTGGAGGACTTAGTGTCAAGAATCGGTGCTTAAATTGTGGTATTTTTAAGTGGGTTAATATGTGTGTGAGGCTATATTAGCATTTTGTTGTTCATGGTGTTAGAATTGCTAAGTATGTTGTACATGTATGTATCAGACTTAAATTGTAAGGTCATTAATTATGGATACAATTATCCCAGTCCTCTTAAGACTTTGTTTACTTGTTTACTTTTTGATGTACCTGGTAAGGATCTCACGCTGTGAGATGTAGTTGATTAAAGCAGATGTCTTGGGGGAGGAAGATAACATTTGCTGGCTGTGTAATTTGTGCTAGGAAAGAAAATGAGAAAAATTAGACAGAAAGGAGGAGTCCATTAGATTTTAAAATAGCCTGGTAGAAATGAATCTGACTTTGGTGGGGGGTGGGGAAGAAATAAAAGTTGTAAAAAGTTGTGTGTCTCTGGGTGTGTCTGTTCTTGTTGAAGCTCGAGGAAGAGGACCACTGGTAAGAGGCTTTTCACGCCTCAAAGAAAAGCAGTGGTTGTTACCGAATAGTAGATGTGCAAAAACTCTATCCTCGTGGTTGGGTGCTTAGTAGTTGTGTGTGTGATGAAAAAGGGTGGAGGAGTGTGGTGATAAGTGTAGAATATGTTTCAATTGGAGGAGTGTTGTGCTCAGAGGGCGTTGTAGTTGAACAAGATTCTAATCGAAATACTTGAGAGGTTAAGATAGCAGGATAAACAGTGCTCAACCTAATCTAAAGAGAAGAATACACAGTGTGGGGAGGGATAAATTAGAAGTTTGGGATTAACATACACAGGCTAGTCTGTATAAAATAGAAAATCAAGGGACTTCTTTGGTGGCGCACTGGTTAGGAATCCACCTGCCAATGCAGGGGACACGGGTTCAAGCCCTGGTCTGGAAAGATCCCACATGCCGTGGAGCAACTAAGCTTGTGTGCCACAACTACTGAGCCCGCGAGCCACAATTGCTGAGCCCGCGTGCCACAACTACTGAGCCCGTGGGCCTAGAGCCCGTGCTCCGCAGCAAGAGAAGCCACCACAGTGAGAAGCCTGTACACTGCAACAAAGAGTAGCACCCACTCACCGCAACTAGAGAAAGCCCGTGCACAGCAATGGAAGACCCAACACAGCCAAAAAATAAATAAACAAAATAAAATAAAAATTAAAAATAAAAGAGATGGTTACTCTTAATTAAAAAAAAGATAATCAACAAGGACCTATTGTATAGTACAGGGAACTATACTCAATATTATGTAATAACCTATAAGGGAAAAGAATCTGAAAAAGAATGTATATATAACTGAAGTGCTGTGCTGTATACCTGAAACTTACATGATATTGTAAAACAAGTATACTTCAATAAAAAACTTAAAAAAAAAATCCACAGTTTGGGGAATAGACAAAGAAACAAACCAAAATTAAAACCACAAACATTTGTTTTAATGCAGCTTATGTTTTTAAATAAAAATAGGCAGCAGTTGTTATTCACATATATGCAGATAAATTTCCCTTAGATCCAAGTTTTTAGAGCTACCCCACAATTATTTTAATTTTATTTGAATCTGTAGTTTATAATAGGGCTTTCCTCTTCATATTTATTTTATCTAACTTTTCCTAGACCTTGGATTGTGATACATAATTCCTGCTACGTGACTTTCTAGAAGTTTATTATTTCAGTTGTCTCGGGCTTCCCAGTTCGTTTCCCACCCCCATCCCCGTATTAACTAGAAACCTGCTCTCAGGTCCTGTTACCCCTGTGCTCACTCTTGCTCATGTCATCTGCCTTGTATCAACTACCTGTTCTATCTGGATGTCTTTTGACTGCTTCTCCGTCTTTCTTGTCCTCCCACTTCTCATTTCCTTTACAGTACTGAGAACTTTAGTTTGGGTGTCCCATGTTGAGCGTGGTGAAACTGACTTCCCGTTTTCCCTGGTCATACCTCTGCGGTCGGTGGGGAAGGTGTGGTCGTAAAGCCTGGCAGTGAGAGGCCCGGGCGTGGACGCCTCTAACCTGTGCTGCACTCCACCCCACAGCCCCTCCCGTGCTACCAGGAAACCACGCAGTTTACTCCTTACTCTTCATACTTCCCTTTGCTCCATGCCCGCGGATCAGTGTCTGAGCAGTTCTGGTACACCTGAGCTCCTGTAGCCTTCTGTGTATTCCCTGACTTGTTTCAGTATCTTCAGAGATGTTTCGTAAGTTATTTCATTACTTCCTGGAAAGTAAAAGAAAAAAAACATCACCTGAGGATAAGTATTTCAATGTGGAGTTTTGAAAAGTTGTAGTGAAAACCTTTTATGTAGGTAAAAGGATTAAGGTTCATAGTGACTCATGCCCTGGTAATGCGTGAAAATAAAGGCTGATTGCTTTGAAGCTTAGAATTTCTATTTACTGTGTGGGGAAAGACCAGGCAGATTGGGCGGGGTCGGGGGGGGGGGAGGTTTTGGATATGGTTAAGTTTTAGGTACCTGTTAGGACACTGAGTGGATTCAGTTGTTGTGTGTCAGTAGTCGCCTTTAATCTAGAAGAATCTCTCTCTCTCTTTCATTTTTCATGAAATTGAGTGTTTGAAGAGTTCAGGTGTGTTTCTCATAGAATGTCTCACATTCTGGGTTTGTTTTTTACTAACGATTTTACAAAAGTTGTTACTCATGTTATTAGAAGTTTGAAAAGATATTTCTGTCAGCATAAGAACTAAGGGCGAAAATGAAGTTGAAACGAAGTGGAAATGAAGTAGGAGGGGCAGTGGTAAAGTGTGCTTTGTTTGGAGGGCGGTGCTGGATGCAGTCGTGATATGTAAAATTGTACTGTGTGCCTTATAGCTGTTGTAAAAAAGTTATGCTTCTAAAACCGCGAGCAACATTGCATTCTTAGCCTTCTTTAAGCAATCTCGGTTAAAGTTAATGAACTTTATTATTTTTTTTTCTATAGGTTTAAATGTAAGACTGGCTGTTTAGTTCTCCTTCTAAGGTAAGTTTTTTATTTTTATTATTTTTTTTGAAACAACATTACTATATTAAATTTATTATTCAAGTAGTTTGTCTAGAAAGTAAATTTTAGTTGCTGGAATTGTATGCCTAACTAGTTATCACCTGGGCTTTGTCTGTTTCAGAGGATGTTGTCCGCAGGGGCGTGGTGGTTACTGCACATATAGTGTAAATAGTTCCGTGCTGGTACTTAGATGCTGAGGAAAATTGGGAGGCTACGCGACCTTGTAGGAACATTTCTGGTACATCTCACTAGTCAGAGTTACTCTGATTTGCCTGAGGATCCTGGAGTGCTGGGTTGAGTGTGTTTTCCTAGGGATGCTGTAACAAAGTGCTACCAACTGGGTGACCTAAAAACTACAGAAACTTACTCTCTCACTGTTCTGGAGCCAGAGGTCCTCTGTGCTCCCTCTGAAGGCTCTAGGGGAGAATCCTTCCTCGCCCATTCCAGTTTCTGGCGGTTGCTGGCATTCCTGCTTCACTCCCCATTTCTGCCTCTGTCTGCACGTGGTCTTATTCCCTCCGTGTCTCCTCTCCTTGTCCCCAAGGATTTGGGGCCCACCCTAATCAATGTGAACTCATCTCAAATTGATTGCATCTGCCAAGACCCTAGTTCCGAGTACGGTCACGTTCCCAGGTCCTGTGTTAGGACTTAGACATACCTTTTTGGGGAACACAATTCATCCCACAGTAGTTGGGGCTCGACTTGAATTGTAGCAAAATCGAGGTGCTGTGATCATTCTGAAGCTTGAATGATGTGTTTTATGAGGTACTAAAATATTTGGAATTGTAACAGTGAATCCTAGGTTTCTGAAGCCATTTTAGGGATATTTCTAGTAGACTTTGCATGGTGTGTGTGTGTGTGTGTGTGTGTGTGTGTGTGTGTGTGTGTGTGTGTGTGTGTGTGT